TAGCAAAACCCACAGTGTGGATCATCTATCAAATGTAAAAGTTAGGAGGTCTAAGCCCATCCAGGCCTTACAGCTATAGGCAGTTCTGTTATGACCAGCCCAGAAGGGGAGGGTAACCCCAGTTCTTGTTAATAAATCCCTTGGGGTGGATTAGAGTGAAACAACACTGAATAACTGGTGTTTGTAAACATATATATGTAGGGTTTATTTTAGAACAATTTTGTTAAAAAGGAAAACAGGTGTATAGCCATTTTGGTTGTTATCATCTATAGTAATACAACATTAAAGCATAAAAATAACACTTATGGAAGTGTATAAGGAAAGAAAGAGAAAGAAAGAATAAAAGTAGAAAGATATATATAGTCACCACCTACTGGGTCTGGCAATGAAACTTGTTAGTTGCAGCTTCAATGTCTGTTGGTTGAAGCGACGATCTTGATCCACTGTGGGTGGGGGAAGTCAAGCCAAGCCAAGCCAAGCCCTGCCCAGCCCTGCCCCGCCCCACAAAAAAGCCCAAAAAAGCCACAAAAAGCCCAAACAAAAATGTACAACTGTTCATTATTAGTTGGTTATCTTTTTATTGAAATCATAGCTGACACTAACTATGAAAAGGGAGGTAAATCAATTAATTGCTGGGGAGGTCGTTTGGTTTTTGTTTTTATTTCTTCTGTACAGTAGCTGATTTTTGCCTCTGAATTTTTTTTTCTTTGAAAAGCAGTGAGCACACATGGAATTAGCATGATGTATAACTGCAAGTAATTTTTAAAATAAGACTGATTATCATTTGAGGTTTTGTGTTGTATTTTTAAGGAGATAAAGGACAAAAGAAAGGTAATGCAGACTTACATACAAATATTATGTTAGGAACCTAGAAAAACAGCTGGGGAGGTTACATGTCTAACTGGGTCAGTACAGTATTGAAAAAAAAATCCACATTTTATCTCTATTTGTCGTAATGTTGAACTTCTGAAATATGCAAGTATGCAAGTATGATTTAAAAGAATTATTAAGCCAAAGGTAAAACATATATTAAAATTTAAATTAATGTCTGATAGAGTCTAGTACTAAAACAGTCACACTTCTATATAGCATTTTCTGAGATATGTTCAAGTAGGAAAGCAGTTGAGACCACTAGTGTCACTGAAACAAACTGTAAAGTTAAACTATTGAATTGCCCTTGGCCAGATTAGCTAATACAAGTTATAAATTTGCATTCTGTTCCTTTATGGTCAGTGTTTGGAAATGTGGAATGATCCAGCAACAATAAGAAATCTATATAAATTTAATTCTGTATTTGGTTCTTCATGATTTTGCATTCTAAAACACTTAGGCAAAAGAAAGTCTGCATTAAGAGAACATCAGTGACTCATTCAGGAGATCAGCAATACCATATCTGAGATTGTTCCATAATGTTAATTCAGCTCAGCTGATAAGTATCTTGTCAAACAGTGGGTCATTTAATGAGAGTATTTTTCCAGGAGACCCCCATCTCACTCAGTTCTGGGAATAAATCAAGAGTTTGTGTTAACAAAGACACTAAATGTGAGGTAGCCAATCCCTCACTTGCTGCAGAAGATTAATTTGATGTAGTGAATGAGGTAGCACTTGCAGAAGGTTTGATACATTAAAAAATCTGAGTCTTGCCCAGAAAAATTTAAACTTCTCTTTCTCTATAAAATTCCAAGGCCATATTGGAATAATTTAAATAATTTTTTTAAAATTATAATTAATTCTGTTTTCCTCATTTTCTATACTCAATTTTAAATCCTCCCATTTTGACTTGTCGAGTTGTAAAATCTCATAGTTGTAATTTAACATTTCATAGACTGTAGGTCTTAAAGGAATTGCAGCTACCCACAGTTAGTCAGAAGTTGAGTTATAGGATATCTGCTATTCATTTAACTAAAGTCACTGTGATAATTTGTCCTACCTTCCTCTTTTATTATTCTTGGAACTTAATTCCAGAGGGCTATAGGCAGTCTAAATTTATGAATTACTATCAAAAATCAGGTCCAAGATACTTCCTCTTAGGCATCCAAAGTCAGCGAACAGTTTTGGCTATACTTCGTTTCCATCTAATATATAGAATGAATGGAAACCGAAATCTGTACATAGTGGCTGAATAGTCATAAAAAGTGTATGTTGGCCAGTTCTCCAGCTCTTTGCCCCACTTCCTGAGATAATGAAACATCCATAGTTGGACCTGAATCTCCATCAGTAGTCCTGCATTCAAGGTGTTTGATGTGAGTTGAAGAATTTCAAGGAACATCACAAAATGCACTTATTGTGCAACCTATACATCAGTCAAACTCACTTTCAGCAAGCAAAGATGACACCACTGACTTGGCTCATGACAGTAAAGACAAATTAGTGGTGTTTTGTGAAGTGCTCAGAGCAGAGTGTGATAAAGTGCAAGGTCACATGTCAAAATGCGAAGAAAATAATAGTGAATTATTTGGGCACAATCCATTCTATCCAATAAATGAGGGAAGGGTATATTGAAAGAATAGTTTATGATCTGATAATGCAAGGCCATTGAAAGGTGCCTTCACAGAGGGGCATGTTAAGTTTGCATGGATATTTTTAATTCTGACCTCTTCTAAATGTTCTCATCTTTGCTGATCCTTAGGCAATGACCATGTACATGTCTGTTTCTGTGCCATTTCATAGGTTTTTATTAAAAGAAAAAGTATCTACTTCATATTACACAAAGATACATAGATGCCATTTATTTCATGTTACATATCATTATGACTTTCTAGTTCCCTAATTTGCTGAAACTGCTTAACATCTAAATTCAAAGTATCTTTAACAGATACACACTCCAATTACCCAAACATACCTGATATATGTATTCACTATGTACCCAACTCATTATGAAATTAGTGTATAAACAAGCTTAAATAGATATAAGAAATTAGGTATCCAATTGAGCAACTTCCCCTGATGCTTGCTTTTTCTAACCATGTGGTCTACAACATAGTGTTATTGTCACATAGGCTTTTTTTGCCTTATGACTTCCACTTTTATTTACATATCAAAATATGGGTTTAAATAAATGACTTGATAAAGATCAGTTGAAAATCTGTGGCACTGCCAGGCACCATATCTGCATTTACAAATCCCTAGTTGGTGCTTTTGGTCACAGTAAAATCCTTCCTTCCCTTTATTACTCAGTAGAATTCAGTTCTTACAATATCACTACTATAAAATTTTGCTGAGTCTTGTGATTTTTTTAAATTTATGTAGCAAGAGAAATGTTTTTCCAATAGCAATATTGAGTGAAATTAAACGTTGATTCCTGTCTTGCTTTCAGCAGGATCCAATCTCCAGCTCAGCTGTATTCACTTCAGTCATCCCTTGCATGGACTTTACTTCCTACAGCATTTTAAATGGTCTAAATTTTACTTCGAATTTTCATTCTGTGTACATCAGCACCTGTGAGAAAAGGAATGTTCTTCATGTACTTGTTTTTATTTGGGAGCTTGTTCCACTGCAAAGCCAAATCCTCTTAAACATTCAGTTGGTTCCCAGCGTTATTGATGGATACCCTATACTTTGGGTAGCTATGAATAAAATCTTTATCCATCATTCTGATCTCTAAATTTTTTAGTTATCAGTGAATTGATTATTCTAGCAAGAGGTTTTTCATTCTAAAGTGTTACAATACAGTGCCCTGTAAAATTTTCACCAATACAACATACAGCAAACCAGAGTATCACGGTGTAAGAGGTGTTAGGCTGGGGCCATCTACTGGTTGTGTTGCTCAGCTTTTATTGACAGATTCAAAAACCACTTTACACATGTAATTCTACTGTAATTATAAAAATAACAGCATATATTAACACATTAATCACCTAAGTACGTGATGCTTCTTGTGTAATATTTGTTTTCAAGTTTAAATATTCCATGAATTTAATATGGCAAATCATAAAAAGAAAAAAAAAATTATTTACTTTGCTTTCATAAATGAAATAAAAATAGAGGTGAAGGGGCCTAAAAACACTCTTACTTCCCAGTAATATCAAAAAGAAACCAAGGAATAAAGTAATATTAGTGCCAAGACTTAAACAATTTAGTCTAGACAACTTTAGTATTATTGCTGTGATGAAGAGGGTAAATAATTCTTATTGCCTTATTTGATGTTTTGTAAGATTCTACTCTGAATTTGTATGTGTGTTCTAAAATAGCTAAGATGAACTATGCAGTTTTCTTGGGATTAAAGAAGATCTGTCAACTTTATGATGTTTGTCAAAGGTTTTTATTAAAAATAAATTCAGACAAAAAAAGAAAGTAGCAGATGAACAGAAAAATAAAGCCTTTAAAACCAGAAGTTCTATAAATGAGCTATTATGAAGTAAGAATAATCCAGACAAATTAGTTGGGAGACCAAAAGTATATAATGATGCTGTTAAGTATGTATTTACTCATTTATTATATGAAAATACTGATAATTATTTATGCTGTAATTTAGTCATATTTCTTATTTTAACTGTCTTCAGGAGCAAGAGAGACCATTTTACAGATTTTACAAGTTTAAGCGAGATCCTTTGCACCTATTAAATTACTATACATATACGTTTATGTATATGTATGTATACACACAGAGACACAAAAATATATACCTATTAATTCATTATTCTGATGTCTATACATACATATACCTGCATGTATATATACATATATAAGCATATATATATGCACACATATGCAACATATGTATATTCATCTATATCTGTATATACATATGCACACATGCATGCACACCTATATATCATGCCTAACATCAAACATGTACATTATACACTCTTGGTTAAACAAAATCCTCTGTTGGGTCATAGTTGTACTGGGATTAAACATTATTCACATTTGCCCTCAGCAGATCCATGAGCAGGAAAAACTTTCTAACAGGAGCTGTAAGGGGCAAGTAAATTTTTCAAGAAATGCAAATTGCAATTTAAAACGTTTAAAAGGCAGATAAACAATAAGACTTCTCAGCATAAGCAGGAAAGTGTTATGTATTGCAGGTTTGGAGACCAGACTACGGGAGCTAAAACTAGGAAGACATTGCCACCACCACAAATGGAACTTGTAGACACACCTGCAAGAAAAAGGAAAAAAACTGGTTTAGGAATTAATCCAACTAACTGTTATTTTACACCTCATTCATAAGAGTAATAATGCATTCTTTGCCACACTAGAGTACCATTTGTCACGCTGCTTCAAGTTCACCCAGGACATCTGACTTCAAATTGCCTACAAGATAGGCATCTTTACTAAAACACTTGTTCAGGCTCTTTCTGTCATCAAGGGGGGAGAGATAGGCAGTACATGAAAACCATTTGTTCACATATGATATTATGGGTTTCTAAAAGACAGGGCTGTGTGCTGTGCTGGTTTTGGCTGGGGCAGAGTTAATTTTCTTCACAGTGGCTAGCATGGAGTTATATTTTAGATTTGTGCTGAACACAGTGATGATAATAAAGATGTTTGTGTTATTGCTGAGCAGTGCTTACACAGAGCCAGGGCCTCTTCTTGCTTTTCATACTGCCATACTGGCAAGGAAGTTTGGGCTGCATGGGAGGTTGGGAGGAGACACAGCTGGGACAGGTTACCCGAACTGTTATTCTGCACCAGTTGAGAGGAATTTGCTGAGGTCATAGAGCCTACTTTGGCTTCCCAAAGCACATTTTCAAAAAACTATCTTTTCTCCATTTGAACCACTGAAATCAGAATCCTCTGAAGGTGTCCTGAAGAGAACCAGAATATGATTGCTGCCAAAAAGGTAACAGTTTGCAGGTTTGGTCCTGCGGTTGTTTGATCGGGGTAATTTCAAGCTTTGACATACTTTCCCGTCAGTTTCTACTACCAAACTCCGAAAATGCCTGCTCAAATAAACATTAGCGCACAATGATCTCATTTTTATGCCTAACTGGTTATGTCAAACACTTTGAAAATTTTGATTCTAGAGATTATCAGCAGCCTGATGAAGCCTGTCAAAGCTGCAGGCTTATCACTATCCTGAAGTACTACCAAACAATATGCCAAGTAACAGGAATTTTTCCGGTCTGAAGAACTCATGTCCTTGAAGTTGTTACTGTAGATATACATGTAAGCAAACACGCATTTGAAAGCTCACTACAACATAAGCTTACAACTGTTGCCAACAAGTTGCCAAATATTGTCTCTCTCCAAGTGCGAATTAAAATCTTACATTCTATTAGTATAGCTGTCCAAATAGATGATTCTTTTTAGTTAAATAACATGTTTTCTTGTCTCTTTGACCTCATTTTTTTATGCCACAGTGAAACTGCTGCAGGTGCATTTAATGTGACCACAGCAATCAAAGGCAGCAAAGGCCTAGCAGCCAATTCATTCTGCTCCTTGATACCACACTGTTCCTCCCTGGAATGAAGTAAAGTTCAGATGAAGGCCTTTCACCAGATCTACCAGAAAATTGTTTGACCCTCCACCAAGTCTCTGAAAGGAAAACCGTTCTGCCCTTCAGCATTTGCCTTAAATTCAGCCCTCTGCAGACAACCTTCTTCCCTCCTAGGTTTTACGTTTTAACATATACAGAGTGTTGCCTTTTCAGACAGATGCACTCCACACTCCAACTAACTCAGTCTCCCTTCACATTCCATCCTGGGCTTCAGCGTCAAGTCGAGGCTTCCACTTTCCGGTCATTCCAGGCTCTGCAATGCTGGTATGTCCTTCCTTCCTCCAGCAGCCTTCTCTCCAGAACCCACATGAAGACGTGCTTAGAGAAGTCCTCCGCATCACGCATGCACAAAACAGCCACGTTTCGCGTTTTACTCTCCCAAAAAGCGTGGGAGGTGGCAGCTCTCTCGGCCACTGCTCCAACCAGGACACTCACTCCTTCAACTCTCCACCTCTGGCACCAGGAGAAACTGGCGGACCAAAGCGAGCGGCCGGGCCGCGCTGATTGGCTGCGATGGGGCGGTGGGGCGGAGCCGGAGGGACCACCGCGCTGATTGGCTGCGGCGCGGTGAGCGCGGGGCGGAGTCGGCAGCCGTTAGCGCGCAGTTTGAACATGGCAGCGGCGACCGGCGGCGCTCTGAGAGAGGGGCAGGGCCGCGGCGGTCCCTGCGTCTGTTCGCCCCCGCTGGCTGCGGTGGAGGCCGTGGCCGCCGACTGGATGCTAGAGTTCGCCTGCTCCTGCCTGTGCCGGCACTTCGGGGATAGGAGCGGGGCGGAGTTCCGGCGCTGGAGCGACGTGTCGCAGGGTGAGTGGCAGTGGCGGCTCGCGGGGTTCCGCGGGCGCTCGGGGCTCTCGCACAGCCGCTCCCGGGCCGGTGTGTCCTGACTCCAGCAGCGCTGAGGAGGTGGGTATTCGGCTCTTTCGAAGACTTCAGGAGATTCTCGGAGCACCGGGTAACCTGCTGAGGCCGTTTGGTGGTGTCGGCAACACTCGCACACGGTGGCAGTGAAGCAGCGCCCGCCGAGTTTTTGTTCGCTTGTTTAATCTGCCGGTGTTCGAGCTCGAGTGTTGTGAGATAATCGCGGCTCTTGTGAGTTAATATTTTGGTTGAATGAGACTGAACCTTTCCAAGAAAACAGTGATTACTGAAGGCTCGGTGGTGGGGACTTTCAGATGTTGAGGTGAATAGAGTCATTGCTGTTAATCTGTCATCTTGATCCCAAGAACCTTGCGTGTTCAACACGACTGCCTGTATACCATCAGCAGCTACTGACACTGAGGCCTCGGATGCTGAAGGGTGAAAGCTATCGGGAAGGTGAAGAGGATTTAGTCAAAAGATGAAAACGTGGTAAAAAGCAACCAGAGTAGAATTAAGCACACCAAGTTCCACGAGTTTACTTCAGGGTTATGATAGACGACTAGAAGTGTTTCAAGGAACTATAGTCTGGCAGAGAAAGGTGAAATGAAGTGTGATAACTGGATTTTGAAAGGAAAAACTTATATTTAAATTGAGAAATCCACTTAAAAGTGAGAGTAGTTAACAGCTAGAAGCAAATGTCTAGGTCTCAGATAAATTTGATGGATTTATGATTTTTTTGTGTGTGTGTTAGAAATAGTTTTCCTGAAGATACCAGGTTAGAGCTTTGGGGATATTTTGTCTGTGTGTGTGTGTTCTTCAGTCAAGTGAATGTTTGACTTGTTTGAAGTTCTGGAAGGAATGGAGTACAATGGCATGCAGAATGATTAGTAAGGAGGTTGATATGAGATATTGTAAGAGGTAAGGAATCTAAAGATAATTAGGTACATTGAATGGTGAGCTGCTAGATTAAATTATTCATGATGCTTCTCTATGTTTGGCCTTGGGACTGTAACTCAGCAGGAGAATTGTACTGAAATTTCCTGAAGGTGGGAAGCAAAGGCACTGCCAATGCAGACGCAGACTGACATGTCTCCTGAGAAGAACTGGAGGCCTGAGAACTGTAATAGCAGAAACAATTAATTAAATTGTACAGAACGCAAGGTCACATGGAACTGAGAACTAAGAGGAAATTTTGAACTTGTTCCTGCTCTGTTCAGACACAGAGGAAAGAGTTGGGTGTATTGGTGCTGTAAGATTATAAAGTCAGTATTGTATTTGTCTATGGGAAAAGCTAAGCACAGCCATAAGATTCCATTAGAAAATTGGGTGTGGGTTTTGGGTTTTTTTTCATAGAAATACAGAACTATTACTCTTGCATTTGTCAAAGTGAGACTCTCCTGAAATAATGATTGGCTGTCAACAAGAGGGTCAATTCAAACTGAAGGAAGGGCAGAAAGGTAGGAAGGCAAAGCAAACAAGATGAGCAATTTTATTAGGAGATAAATAATATTTTTTTTATACCTCAGTATGCTGCCATGTAGAAATAGCTAGGTTACCGGGGATTAAGGATTTAAAGACAGCATGGCAAGGTTACATGGCTTGCTTATTTTATCCTGTGTTGGTAGGGTGTTACAGTCTATATACCTGAACTAGCTTGTGTAGGTACCTACATGGCAAGGAACTGGATTTCTAGAATTTCTAATGAAAGGCTAAGATGAGAAATACATTTGAGTTGCAACAAGAAGGAAAGTGATTTATGATTGAGAACACTATTAACAAACAAATTAATAGAGAAACTACCCTGAGTGTGTGGAGGGAGAACAGTCTAGAAAAGATTACTAAGGCTTTGTCTCTTTCTGTTTGTCTGCATTAATAGTGAGTAATTACTGCTAAGGACCTGGTGTCCAAACAGTAAGCATTTAAAGGTTTCTTTTTCTTTGGAATAACTCTAAAGGAATTCAATTTGTGTAGTCAAGACTGTTCCACTGCACAAACCAAGCACAGAAGGTTTGCTTTAAAGAGACACCCCTGCTCTGAATTAAAGTGGTGATGTATGTGCACCTTATGAGAATAGAGAAAGCTGAAAGATTTCGAGCTGCTTGCCAAGATGACCCCTTTTATTCTGTGGAATTGTTCACCTATGCTATTCTGCCTGCTTCCAGAATTTCAAAGTTCTGCCTTCATCTTCAGAGTAAGGTGTTCATCTCTATTATTAAGCTTGTCCAAACACTTTCTGAAGTTGAACTCTGTAGTCTGCTATGGAAGGTGCATAAGTGATCACAATGCGTGGTGCTTTACTGCTGTTCTAAATGATGTACTTTTTTTACTTCACATTCTGGCTATAGGAATTAACAGCTCTTGTATCATCTGTCCTCACTGAAGCCATTAGAAATGTTCTTCCAACTCCAAATGGCAATATTATGCTTGATGTTAGCTTAAGTAATCATTCAGGGCTATTTACTTTGTAATTTCATTCTTATCTATTCTGTGTAGGAGATGGTTATACACTAATATTCAAGTAGGCTGAGTACTTTCAAATAAAACATTGTATTATGTGCTCTAGTTGTTTCATTGCAAAACTCAGGTGTTCCATGCTCCATAATCCTGGTTTTTTTGCTAGGATGACACTGAAACGTGTACATAAACAATTCCTGGCCTAGAGTGTTCAGTCTGCAACTTGGACAAGTAACATGATGTGTTCTTCATAATTCTGTGATTTTTTTGGGGGCACAAACGGAAACACAAGAAGTTTCTTCTGAATACAAGGAAAAACTTTACTTTGAGTGTGACTGGAACAGGCTGCTTAGAGAGGTTGTGAAGTCTCCTTCTCTGGAGATATTCAAAACCTGTGTGAATGTGATCCTGTGCAACCTGCTTCACCTGAACCTGCAGGGAGGTTGGACTACAAAATCACAGAATGGGTAAGGTTAGAAGGGATCACAGCAGGTGTAGATAATATCCAGAGGCTCCTTCAAACCCCAACTGTTCTGTGATTCACTCTTCATTTCGAATGTTACTATACTATACTGTGAAGATGAATTACTATATCCAGCCCAATAAAATAGGAAATTCACAGTAACCAGCATGATGGGTATAAACGCATGATAGTTCCCATTCTAAAATATGTAAGAATCCTTGTGACCTTCCAGCCTTGAAAGGAGGGTTTCCCTTGTAGATGTACATTTCTGACTGAGCTTTCCTCGTAGCTTTTACTGCTTTTTGTCTCTTAAGTTTCTATAGCAACATATAAATGTTACCAGTCTGCCCGTGGCTGATGGTTTGTGGGCATTCCGTGCTCTGGAGCAGACAGATGTCTTTTGTAGTAAGCTACTTACCAAAACAGAACTATTTCAATACCATGGTCTTTGAATTTGATTGAATATAAGCCTGTGATACATTTTATTGCTTCTTTGGAGAAGGGTATATTTTTCTACTTAAGTTCTTAAATATTAAGTTTTTTTAACATGGACAAATACTAATTAAATGTACTTCATTGGTTTCTTAATGAATTAAAAAATTAGTAGATCATTAAAGTCTGATAACACAGTGTCTATTATATGTCTAGCCACATTGTGGCAGTGCTGGAGCAAGACTGACTTATCATTTGTCTTCTTTTCCAGCTCTTATCAATGGCTTTTTCAAAATACCTACACATCAGAAAAAAACAGTTTATCTCTGTCAGCTTTTGATAAGAATTGCAAAAGGAAAAACCCTCGGTAAATACTCTGATTCTTTTTTTTTTCACTTGTCTAAAAATATTTGTGTGATCCTGCACAGAGGTGTATTAGATATGCTTTCACAGAGCCTTTACTGTACATATTATAAATACATATATAGATATATATTTATATGTAAATCGTACATATCTGTAAACACATATCTAGATAAGTATATGTAAATAAATGGCATGAACTCCACATTTGGGGCTGTCTTTATTCCTCATGTGACTGAGTTGTATGCAGGACCAGTGTTTTCTGTGCTGACTGACTTAGCTGCTCTGAGTTTAAATTACTATATACTTCTTAAATTATCGGTCTATTTTTGTTAGGGTAACATCAACAAAAGAAATCTACTGGAAAAGACTGACTAGCTATTAGTGAGCAATACTTGCAAGTTTAAAGCTCAGGATGTACATTCCTTTCTGCACACATAACTAGAGGTTAAAATAGGACTAACAGTAGGAATAAGAATATGGATGAAAAGGATGACTGCCCTTGTTTCCTACAGAAGGCTGTAAGACTTTCAGCTGGCTGCAGGTCCTTGGGGCTCTTTTTCGCTACCACTTCTCCTCTGGCTGTATTTGCAACTACCTTGTTGATTCAGCCCAGATGATTTTGTTTCACACTGGAATTTTTGGAAGACTTAAATTTTTTTGCTGCAAATTTTCACTGTTTGATAAAACTCATTGTAAGACTTAAGAAGCAGTCTTGCTAGCATGAGCATAGAAGAAGGAAGTGTATTCTAACCTAGCAGTGCTACAAAGGCTTGTTTTTATAAAATTAATTTCTCTATGTTACTTGTCAGGTAATAACAGTTGCCTTGACTTATTTTAGCTTGAGAATCAAATTCTTGTATTTAAAGTAGTTCATTTTTTACAAATTATGAAACTTTTCTGATAATGCTCTAAAACTATATTATTGTATATAACACTTGGAAATATGACTTTGCTGTGTGTTTTTCTTATCAGTGTAGAGAATGACTTGTGTGGTGAGGAAGATTGTATATGCTTAGTAGGTATTAGGTCAGGTGTAGCTCCACAGTGTACATGGAAAGCTACTACATTCTAGCTTTCCTGTTTTTTTCTAATTATTAAAATATTTAATCTGTACTGAGTCTTAAAACAGAGTAGGCTGTTTCAGGTGCCAGCTCTTTTAAACACTTTGGTTTTAGAGTATTAAAATAAACTTAATATGAAGTGTCATATTACTTGATTGAAAGAATAGTTAAAGAAACACAAAAGTGGATTTTTTTTAATTATATGTATATATGCACATAACACTGAGATTTCACTGACTGACTTATTGTAGTGAGTATAAAGTAATTTTCATTTTTTAAGTATTGCTTAAATTGTTTACTCGTTCCTTAATGAAAGGAATGAGTTATTGAAAGAGATTCTGCTGATGTCATATAAAATGAAGGAATAAGTGGGCCTATAGTTCAATGAACATCTTGAGCTAAGCTGGCAGTGATATGGGGAAAAAAACACTTATTCACCTGCCAGCTCCTCCTGCTTCTTTTACATTCACTTGTGCAGAAGTGTGCAATGACCAGACTGGGAAAGTGTTTTGAGTGTTGAGGGCATGACTATTTGGCTAGGTCAGATCTCTGCCAGAACTGATCACTGATCCTGCTCACTGGGAGTTTATACAAACCTTGGTGTTGGCACAGTGGTACGCTGACATGGGAAGTTGCTTCTGCCTCTTCAGTGACACTCCTGTGTTAAACTGTTTGAATTTCCCTCTTCGTTTAAGCACTTCAAATACAACAAAAACTTAAGACATGGAAATACAGTGATAGATTCAGGGAAAAAATCCCAACCTTAGGATGGTGGTTATATTACAAAAATTAACAGTATCAATACCAAATGTTTTGATATCTGATGCTAAGCTTACTGTTTATTAATGCCAGCCCAAAGACCTAATGCTGAACTCAGCACTATTGCAAGTGGCATTTTAGGTGAACTATAATTAGCTGACACGTAATATCCCTTAAAAATGCAACAGTAATGTCATTAGCAAGAGTAGGAAGAACTAGTCTCTCTGAAAAGAAGATAGTTACTTCAGGTTCTTAAACACACCTGGAGAGAGACACTAAAAATTATTTGAGGAAAAAGCAATTCAAATAATGTATAGTACATATTACTATTTTGCATATAAATACTGGAATATTTTTAGCTTTATCCTTTACTTTTTTTTTTAAGTACTTTTTTTTTTCCCCTCTAAGAATTACAGTTTGAAAATGGTCAAAAAATTTCACCTTTGGAATCTGCTCTGGCTTTCTGGACTTTACTTGAAAAGGAAGAAATTAAACTGGAAAAGCTTCATGAAGATATTCGTCGCTTGATTCAAATTCAGGTCTGTGTGACTTACTCAAAATGCTTCAGGATGCTACCTATTCATTGGGAATGAGTAGCTGGAAAGCTGCCCAGCAGAAAAGGAGCTGGGGGTGCTGATCAACAGCCAGCTGAACACGAGCCAGCAGTTGCTCAGGTGACCCAGATGGCCAATGGCATCCTGGCTTGGATCAGAAATTGTGTGGCCAGCAGAACCAGGGCAGTCCTCATCTCCCTGTACTTGGGATACTTGGCACTGGTGAGGCCGCACCTCAAGTACTGTGTCCAGTTCTGGGATCTTCACTACAAGAAGGACATTGAGGAGCTGAGCGTGTCCAGAGAAGGGCAGCGAAGTTGGGGAAGGATCTGGAGCACAACTCTTATGAAGAGTAGCTGAGGGAGCTGGGGGTGTTCAGCCCGGAGAAAAGGAGGTTCAGGGCAGACCTTATCACTCTCTCCAATTACCTGTAAGGAGGATGTAGCCAGGTGGGAGTGGATCTCTTGTCCCAGGTAACAAACAAGAGGATAAGAGGAAATGGCCTCAAGTTGCACCAGGGGAGGTGTAGATTGGATTTTAGGAAAACCTTTTCACACAAAGGGTTGTAAAGCATTGGAACAGAATGTCCAGGGAAGTGGTAGAGTCACCATCCCTGGAAATGTTTAAAAAAGCATGTGGATATTGCAGTCGAGGACATCGTTTAGTGATGAACGTGGTGGTCCAAGGTTGATTGTTGGACTGGATGACCTCAAAGGTCTTTTCTAACCTCAAGTATTCTATGATTCTATCTTACTAAAACATAGCCCCTTTTACAAAAAGCTTGAGCTATTAGCAGACTGAACCGAATTTTCAGAGTTTTAATACAGAGTAAATAGATCTGTACAGGGGACCTTTTTCTATCCAAAGTGGTTCCTGTTTGTATCAGTTCAAATTTGTATCAAAAGCAACCAATCTGAAAAAAAAAGTATCAGTTGAGATCTATTTCAAAACACTAGTATCTTGAGCTTTAAAATATGTTACGAATAGTTTTTTTTTACTTAAAAGTCATTATTTGTATTGGAAAACTTTTGATTTCAAAGACGAACATATAAAAACACATTGTCAGCTACTGGGAATGTGGAAGTCTTTCAGGAAGAGAGGGAAGCAATGCTTAGTGGGTAAGTATGGGACACTTTGCATCAATGAGAGTCTTTTTAAATGCCTGATGGAGAGGCTTTATACATGAGGTTTAATATTACTTCAGAACTAACTTTTATAACTAGATAATTGTTGGTAATCCTTAAGTATATAATAATCTGAATTTTGGAAGTATTAGAAAACTGTAGAATTGTGACTTTTGGGTTTTTTTTCTGATTCTCAGGTGAAAAGTATTTCAGCATATCCTGTAATTATATTTGTTGTAGATTGTAGCAGTTCATATGGAAAATGGATATTTTAAGGAAGCTACTGAACTTCTTGAAAGGCTGTTTACAGACTCTGAATCAGATAAGGTAGTAACTTTCTAAGTTGCATTAAACTCTTTTATTTTCAGTGGAGAAAGATGGGAGTGGGTTTCCAAAGCTAGTAAATGCTACCTACATAGCTTTGACCTGATTATTGTCTATGCAGGACACCAATGGGACTTTTAAATACAAAAGGAAATTTTTGACTAGGGGATTGATAGAAGTAATGGGTGATTTGGGGGAGTGAAATTCATCCAGCAGTTGTTTTTTTCCCACTTAATATGAGGAGTGAGGTGGCACTACAGCTTCTGGGAATTTAATAACACTGTTTTCTCAGACCAAAGGCAGTATAAACATGCTGGTAGAGGCATAACTGCCTAATAATTAGTCTACTGACTTCTATCGCAGTGGACTCTATTCGTCACCTCTGTTGATTAGTGTTCTGTGTACTGAAGCATCACAGGGAAGGAAAACTCATTAGCTTCTCTAGTATGGACTGAATGTTATTATGCTTCTACTTGGAAAAGATAACATAGGTGAGTCAGGACCCTTCCTGGTTTGAAGTTGACTGCATCATTCAGAAAGATGCAAGTTTGAGTGCGTATCTCTAAAATAATAACTAGTGCACACAGCTGAATTTGCTGGGGTGGAGAAAAGAGCAAAAGACTGCAGGCAAAAAATAATAAAAAAAAAAGGTAAAAATACTGCCTGTATCTTCATCTGGTATATTAGGACGTGTGTTCTATGTAAGTAGTAGCATGTGCATAACTTATTCTTCAGATACACTCCTCATTCAGAGGATTGAGGTGTTTGGAAAGTGTAGACTGTGGTAATAGTATTCAAATTCATAAATAAGAATGCAGCCTGTACACAGAAGTTAATTCTCTTGCTTATATTGGTTTCTGTAGGATTCAGAGTGATTGGTAGACAAAATGTGAATTTCTGATTATCAGTATTGATGTGTCCCTAAGGCTGCTATACTAAGTAGTCCTTTTCCTGAACACTGTACACCCCTTTCAATGGCAGTGGTTTTGAGGTAGCAAATGAGAAAAGAGAACTGAGTAACGAGTGGCTGTTATTGGGTGTTTTTTGCTCCATTGACAATCCTGCTTTCAATGTTATTCATAAAGAAAATGATGATGGGGATCTCTGGAAAGTTACACTTTACCATTTACTGACCACATAAAGTAAATGCCTGGTATTATGCCTATTTTACTTTAGACCCCTGTCAAACTGTGGCATGAAGTTATATAGGCATATTCAGGAAACTATATAATCATCATGTTTACTTTCTATACGTCCTGTTTAGCATAGATACCAAGTTTATTGCAGGATTTGTGTTTTATAAAGCTGTGGTTTTCTTAGCCTTTAAGGATGAAGCTGGCAACCATAATTAAAAACAAGGATCCATATGTTCCTCTTCTCCAAAGCTTCAGTTACAGTCTTTTAATGAGTAAAATCAAGTTCTACATTGAACTTTTCATGAAAGAAAAGGAAACTGACTTCTTAATACAGGTATGTCAAAGCATTTTCAAAACGTCTCAAAAGAGTTACCTGATAAGATTAAATTGATTTATACTTTCAAGGGAGTTGTTTAGGCAATAGTCAGTTATTGCATTAAATGAAAAGGAAGCTTTGTCTTCATTTAGATTGTCTTATATTCAACCTTTTTGTTTTAATTAATATGTCTTGGAGAAAGTTAGTAGGAATAAGATTCCTCTAAAATATCTTTTATTAATGTTTTTTCCACAACCGTTTTGATCCCAAAAAAAGGAAAAAAGCATAATTAAAATAAGATCTATCAGTAGTGTATGTTTAAGAGAAGCAGTTCTGATCTGGGACTTTAAAAAATAACATAGCTATATATTTAATGCTTATTTTGTTTAGGTCTATATGACTTATACGAAAAATAAAAGATCAGGACCTGTTAATTTGGCTAAAAGCTTTAGGAATGTCAAAGAAGTTAGGAGGTACAAAACTGTTATTGCTGTTTTCCTGTAAATAAGAAAGGTCCTTACAAAGAATCTTCCTCAAAAGTGATTTAAAATGGACAAGAACAACATTCCTTTTGCAGTTCATCTTCAAGAGGATTGTAAAGAATTTCTCTTATGTTTGCTTCCTATAAAAAGTATTGAATTATTCAATTACAAAAGCACAGACATCTAAAGGTAATAAGAAGCAAATTTTAAATAAACAATTCTGAACTTCCTCTGTGTTTTCTATTTTCTTGCCCAAGAGACTAGACAACTTATTAAATGCATTCAAAGTATAAGACAAGGAATACCTTTTAATGGTTTCACTTGACTGTCAGTTTTCAAGTTTATTTTTCAAGGCTATTTCTTTGAGTGTAAGAGGAGATCAAGGTTTGGAGGTATTGGAGAAGGCCCAGAACTGCATACTAGCATAGCTAGACCCTCTGTTGTTGCACCCCAACTGCCTGCACGTCTGTCCTACTTTCTGCACCAACACTACAAATCTTATTTTGAACAGTTATTTTAGGACATGGAGGAGACACCTTTGTGAAGAGTTTCCCCTTCTGTATAGTACGTAATGGTTCCCCAGCAGTGTTCGCTGCAGAAGAGCACTCCAGCTTCAATTTTAATATCTCTTCCCTTTCTTCTAGTGCCAGATGTAGAAGTATAATCATAGAATAGTTTGGATTGGAAGAAACCTTAAAGGTAATCTAATCCAACTCCCTTGCAATAAGCATGGACATCTTCAATTAGATTAGATTGCTCAGAGCGGTGTCCAACCTGGCCTTAAATGTTTTCAGGCACAGGGCATCTACCTCATCTCTGAGATCCTGTTCCATGTTACACCACTCTCATCATTAAAAAAAAAAATAAATCCTTCCTTATATCTAATCTAAATCTTCCCTCTTTTAGTTTAAAGCCATTAACCCTTGTTCCATCACAACAGACCCTGCTAAAGAGTTTGTCCCTGTCTTTCTTTTAAGCCCCTGTTTAGGTACTGGAAGGTGCTAGCTATAAGGTCTCCCCAGAGCCTTCTCTTCTCCAGGCTGAACAACTTCAATTCTCTCAGCCTTTCCTCATAGGAGGAGATGCTCCACCCCTGTGATCAACTTAGTGGACCTCCTCTGGACCTGCTCCAGCAGGTCCAAGTCATTTGTGTGCTGAGAACCCCAGAGCTGGATGCAGCACTCCAGGTGGAGTCTCAGCAGAGTAGGGGTGCAGAATCACCTCCCCTGACCTACTGGCCATGCTGCTTAGGATGCAGCCCAGGATATGACTGGCTTTCTGGGCTGCAAGCGAACATTACCGAGTCATGTCCAGCTTTTTATCCACTATAAGGGGGTCTACATTGCTAAACTGTTTGAAGACAGCTTATTCTAGGTTAGTGTCAAGCTTGGAATCTACAAGCTTGCAGCTCCTACTGTTGATAAAGCTCTTGCAGTTCAAGAAACTCTTATAGGTTAGCTGCCCTATGTACAGTCTGCAGATAGTGCATTACGAGGCTAAAGGACCTATACCAATCTGAATTCTTTGTAATTTCTTTTTATAACATTCATTCTTCTTTCAAAAGAGTTATTTTTAGGGAAAAGTACAATTTGAAAGCTACCGTTAACTTGCAAAGTACAATATAGTTGATTTAAACTTTTTTTTAAACTAAATCCTTTTTATCTGTTTATCTATATGGAAAAATGTCCTCACTATCATACAGGTTTTGCTACCATCAGCCACTGCAAAACAGCCAGTATTTTGAAAACTTACATCTGAAAGATGTAGTTATGGGTAGTTATGAAATATGTGACAATGAAACACTTCTGTGATTGGAAGTATTCTGTGATCAGAATACTTTCCAGTATTTTCATGGATGAATGATTGAAATAGAGAATGTTTTTATATTATCTCACTCTCGGAAATGTTGAGAGACTCTGCAAGTTATTGTGAAGGGCAGGTTAAGATTTCAAGACTACTGAAAACTGGATGGATGAAGGAAAATTAACAGGAGGAAAAAGAAAGCCCTGAAGAGCAAACTGATGAAAAGTGAGAGCAACAGACTAAGCAGAAAGAATTAATATTGAGCTATAGTGAAGCTCTCAACTTTGAATCATTTTGATATTTCAGTGCTGCAAAGCAGGTCACCTTTTGGGATGTGTAGTGTTGGATGGAAGATGGTTGGCTCTGCTTAGTGCACAACTGGCAAGAATAAACTTTTGGACTAAGTTGGACTAAATGATTTTTTTTTTTTTGAGAGTGTTTTTATTACCTCAAGTAAGTGGGAGAAATATAGGGAAAAGTACAAATCTTAGGATTATCTGGACATTCTATAAAGAGTAATGAACTACTACTTCCTTCTCTTGGCAATGGAGGAGAAATAATCGCATTTTGTGGCTAAAAGTTTGAGCAGGATATTAGAAAAAAATTTTTTGCCAGTGCAAGAAAGGTTATATTACAAGCCTAAGGTCTGGTTAGACATGTCTTTTGAAAGTGTTATAGGCATGCTTGATCCTCACATGTGCTACAGAACTAGATAAACTTGTGAGACCTGTCAGTTTTCCATTTCTAACCTAGTTATAAAAAACAGATTTTGGCATACTTTGATAGTATTTGCAGTCTTAGTTAATCTCCACGATATACTTCACACCTTCATAAGTTCACTCGTTATGCAAGTATTCATTGTATTTCTTTGTGTCCATATAAATATCACTTGCAGCTATGACTAAAATTTCTCTGAGTTATTAGTTGATAAAGATCTTTATGGATTTCAATGTAGCAAGCTAGAGTTATTTTGAAACTACTTATGTTCATAGTAAAACCTCTGAAGTGTCTGTGAAATAAGCACTGTTAGTCCTTAGAGAGAGTACACGTATTAATCCCAGTGTGACCTACTATCTAGGTATTGGCTGGCTTTAATTTTAAGGTATCAATTCCATTTCTCACAGGAAGCCACAAAATATGCAGAGTCTAAAGGATTGGAAGCAACAACATTGCAAAACAAATCTATGAATGTCAGTGAAAATGACGAAAGTAATTTGGTCACAAAACAAAGGTTTGTATTAAGGATTATATTACTGAGGGATGTACTTGGACAGTAACTTGAAACTTGTAGAATTAAGAGTAGGTAGAAGGAAGGACATTACATTCCAAACTGCTGTCCAATAGAAAATTAGCTACAAGCATATTCCCTATTTTTTTAAAATTTGGGCTCTTCGATAGTTGTTACTTTGGGCATTTACATCAAATAGCTTTGGTTAAGTTTAATTATTTGTAAATATGCAGAATTTTCAGTTTAAACAGCTGTCAATCTTGTATAACAATAAAAACATGAAAAGACTTTGCTTTTTTTAATGCTTGATTGAGCACTTTTTAGTCCTGCCCTCCTAATTTCAGACTATAAGTCATCTCAAGAAAGAGAATAAGAAAATGGAATCAGGCTGTTATATTTTCTTTACAGCTGAACACAAGATTCTGTTGTTGATACTAATGTGAAGGGAAATAGTAATGTTGCTTCATAATTCTGGCAGTGTGAACCCTCAAAACGATTATTTGGAATATACTAAAATTCTGGGTTTATTGCCTTGTTTTTCATGGAGAATATAACTGTAGTCTTTAGTTGGGATAGAGCTTCTATTTCTGCATTGTTATACTTGGAATATTTGGCATCATTTAGTTAAGGAAATCGACTCATGCAGACAGTATAGAGGAAGACATTTCACAAGTTTTGTTTGGTTTTTTGTTTGTTTTTGTTTGGTTTTTTTTTTAGAAAGATAGCTCATGACACAATTACGTCTGAGAGATATGATGAAAGACTTGTTAAAAAACCCCTATGGAAATAATTCCTGATGAAAAATTAGATGTGCAAAATGCCATACATTTAAATGTGTGAGGCAAGATTAAGAGGGTTAATAGATTGATGCAGTTAGTGTTTGTATGCCACTGTTTCTGTAGAGAGATCTCAATATCTTTTTAAATATTGTTGAATCATGTAAATGGCAAGTTGCTGCTTAGGAAATTATTTTTTTGTCTTTTTTTTCAAGATTGGTGAAAGAACAACAATATATCACAAATCAGTCACCTGGAGACATAAAAAAATCCACAGAAAGGTAAATTTTTTTGTTGCTTTTGGTCATAGACTTTTCATGAAGTTCTGTGTATTTTTACTCCATTTTATGTTGCTTGCAGGCCTTATTCAGAGCAGAAACACACAGGGAGCAGAGTTCTTCAGAGTGAGTATTAGTTTACTTTTACACTTTCGAAACAGTCATGTCAAACAGTTATTTCTAAGTGTGATTGGATTAATAAAAAAATGGTTGTGTGGGGAAAAACACTGCTAGTTTTTATGTGTATTTTCTGTACAAGTGCAGGTTTGGTGGTTGCCATATTTAGGAAGCTGTGAAGTGGCTTCTCTGGCAACTCCTTTTGTGAAATCATTCACTATTTTCTGGTTTGCTTGGGGTTTTGTTTGCTTTATTGTGATTTACAGTATTCTATGCAAAAGAAAGCTGCCAGAGGAGTACTGAAATTTGTCTCTTTCTGAATTTGGAGCTAGATAACTTTGGTGGGAAGAACTAAAGAGATTGGTTTATTGGAAAAACAAGTTGTAGTGTAAAATGCACAAAGTTAGGATGTTTGTGCATTTTCCTGGTAACCCTAACTTAACAACATGGATAATGTAATATTTGTAAGTAGGTTCTGAAGACCATTAGCAACCTCTTACCACAGAGAGATGATGTTATAGTTTCTGTGTGTGGCCATGTTGTACATGGAAGGACAAACTCTTAAGATGCCTTGAATGCTTGCCACAGTTAAAACCTGATACATGTACTTGGAAATAATGTAATCTGTATACAAAGAATCATAGCTCTGATTGTTTGTTACTTCCCATTCTCTCTATGTAGAATGAGAGCAGTATGTATAGTAAAAATGCTTTTATGAAAATGAAATGTTTCATTATTATGCACCAATTTTTACTTAATTAATTTAACTAATTAATTTACCTAATTAAAATATAATTCTTCTGTGAACTCTATTGTATAGAAAATGTGATGATTTTTTTCAACAGACTATTTTTTGAATCTTTGGACTATGGTGAGATATCATGTGTATTCATATAAAAAAGTATATTCATATGTAATCAGACACTGAAATTTTCCCAATCTGTCAGAACATATCAAAATAGGGTACGTTCTTGTCTCATATAAATGGTAGAATGCAAAACTGCTGCCTTAATGGTGACTCCTCATTGTACTGGATGTATATTAACTGTCTCCTAGGTCTGAACAACTTACAGAATGTGGAAAACCATGAAGTTTCAGCTTGTGGCCGAAGAAGACAGGTTTGTACCATTCTCTGTTCTAAATTGACATAAAATTAATCTACACTGCACCGAATTTTTTTCTCAGCTTTATTTGACCTTCTCCAAAATGCCTAGACTTAAGATTCTGTAGATTACTCGAGCTGTGCTACAACTCCTGAAACTGTTAAAAGTAATTTTTTTTAAAGAGAGGAAATAAAACTTATTCTGTGCACTCTCAAATATTATTGTTGCTAATGCTTCTGAGCTTTTAATTTGTTGAAATACGCTGTTTCTAAAGCTTAGTTTGATTCTTTTTTTAAAATGTGAAAAAATAAAAAATTCTTTCCACTGTTGGGGTTACAGAATTCAGGATATCATTTGCCCATGAGAATTTTAGGCAAACATCAAAGACTACTTGTTTTCCAACTTAGAAGGTTAAATATTTAGCAATTTCATAATTCAATAATTTGCTCATGTTAGGTGAAAACATCTATTTGCTTGGGAAAATATTTTAGTTTTTATAAACCAAATGATAGGGTCTTCTTATAATGCTACATTTCAAATTGTCCTTTGCATTCTCTTCATGGGTGAGCCTACTTCATTTAATTACTTAAAATAATGCTGCTATGTTCACTAATGCCAGAATTCCCTGTTGGTGGGAAGTACAGAAGTGTATACCTTAATAGAAGGCAATTTGGTATGATGTTGGGGTAAACTGTTTCAAGCTAATTTTTGCACAAAGCCAATTTTCATTCATAATTGTTCAGCTTCTTACCATGATAACTAAGGAAATTAATATTAAATAAATGCATTGCCTTTGAATTCATTTTTATAATATCTCTTAGGAAGCAATTTGGAGTCTTTCTGTTTAGATAACAGTACAAGTTACCATCGTACATCCATTTTGGTGTGAGCTGTTTCATTTTTCTGGTGTTCATTTTGACATTTCATTTTTTGTATAACAGGGAGGGCCAAACCTGCTCATGTTTTTTTCCAGATTGTCATTGAGGAAAGTTGTACTTACTTCTAGTTCTTTAACCATTTTTACTGCAGTTGAAGTACGGGTTAAATCTTCAGTTACATGGTGTCCTCAAATTGGTTGAGGTCCTAATGAGAGCTCATCTATCCTTGCAGGTTAAGCCCCTCTAAACAGTTTTTCACTTTCTTACAAATCTCAGGAATAGTTAAATCACTGAGAGCCTCTTTAAAAGCTACAGATACAACCAGTGCCCTAAAAAGAAAAAAATAGCAGCACTTACTGGATTTGTTTGTTGCCTTTAAAAATATAATTAGTTTACTCCAAAGTATACTTGGATAGGTACCTTGTTAGCCAGTGTCTGGTAAGCATGAACACTTCCATCAAGCTTGTTTTCAACATCAAGATTTAAACTGTTTGGATCACAATTGACAGAGAGCTAATGAGAACTTTGTGTTCACATATTTTCATGCTGAGGTAGTCTGTTATGGGGTCACCTACAAGTAGTGTATCTAAGTCTAGGGCTTATGCACACATCTTGTTAGAAAAAAATAGATGTTGTTTGCTTAGTTACATTGTTGTATTTCAACCTTAATTGAAATGTAAAGGCAAAATTTTTAGAAAAATGCATCTGATAGTAGCAAAGAACTCTGAAAATTTTATAAAAACTTGAATGAATTTTATTATTAAGAACTGTGTTTCTTTAAACACTTAGAAAAGTTGTAGGCATTTGCTGCCTCTGTGATATTTATACCATACTCCCTGCCAGTGAGACTGCTCAGAAATATTGTATAGAAAGCAATGATAATTGGCCTTTTACACGATAAATCTGCTCCTCTGCTTAATCATCTGGGTTATAAAATTGTCTACATGCATGAAAGAATGCAATGAATGTCAGAGCTGTTGACTTCTAGAACTTCCTTTTCCATGTAGTCCCTCTTTCAATGTTGGCATTGTTTGCTCTTGTTTTGTAAATGGCATTTCATTGCAATGGTTCAGTGCCCATTTTCAGCCTTTCACTGCTGTGTTTTCAGTTAGCTGCAAATAACACTCTGCAGTGCTATTGAAAGCAAGCATACTTTATTTTCTCCTCCCTAAATTAGGGGATGCAAGTGTCACGGAATTTAGGGAACTGTTTGTACTCAATTTTATATCCTGTCCTTTGAGTTGTTTAAAATCTGACTGACAGTTTCTTTAAATTAAAGAATGTGTCTGAAAATCTGGATGTTCAGAATTTAGTCAGACTTGTATGGGAAAAAAAGTCCATATATTTAAACCAGAAGGAAAAAAATCAGAGTGGAGTCCCGTAATGCATAAAGGAAGACAGGTTACTAGAGGAGGACTGACTCTAAGGAATAACAAGATCTTTAGATATGACAGAGTATGCCTCTGCATTCTGCCTGGCAAACTCAAGCTTGCTCTGCCTGCATTCTAAGCTGGCCAGATGTCACATTGCTCTGGACTAGGTGCCGTGATGATGTGAGCTCAAATGTAATGCTGCATTATGTCCAGGCTTTCAACCAGCCTTGGTAGCTTGTAACAGTGCAAAGCTGGAATCTACAAAAGTGCTGTCCCAGAGGGGACAGACAGTTCATCGGTCAGTAAGGTGGGAGGCAAGTTACTGCTCTGTACAGCTCCTCAGTGGAGAGAAAAGATGACAGTCCCTGATTTACCTGTAAGGCAGGCTCCTCATTTGTATGTTAAACTGAAGAAATTTATTTTAAAAAACGAAAGCTCAATATAAGCAATTTAAAATCAAAACAAGCTAAACCAACCCTTTTAAGAGCAAATGTAACTAATCATTGCAAGTAACAATAGTTGTAATTGTCTCTGATTGAAGTATTTGAATTATCTGGTGTTCTAGGTCAAGAATAACTCTGTTACTTGAATAAAGATTTTATTTAGGAAAGTTTTCTGGCATGCTCTGGAATGAACTATGTGATTCCAGTGGAATCTCTGGCCTTTTAATAAAGTTAAAAAAAAAACCGAACCAAGAGCCATTCGCTGCTGATGTTGCAAAATATTTGTGGAACAGGAAGTATTGGAAAAAGGAAGTATTTTTGATAAAAGTTAGACTACTTTAGAGAAGTTTTAGGTTCCAAACCTTTTAGAAATACAGCTGAACTGCTATCACTTGTAATTCTTTCACTGCTTAGTGAGGTTTGTTAATGATCATAGTTTACTGAAGAGGCAGTGATAGTTGCATTAAGCTGGAGTAGGTCCAGCTTTGAGATGTGAAGTTTAGTCTTCACGTACCTCAGCTTACACTTTGCATAGGTGTCACATTTTCCCTTGTTGTAGAAAAAACAGGATACAGTTCTGATCAGGCTGAATGTTATCTAAGCTTCTTCTCCCTCATACTCATGCCCCTGCCTTTCATGTTTGACTGCTGCTGACACTTCTAGCAACTTAAATTCAAGGGAAGTGGAGAACCATACAGAATGACACTCAGTTGTCACCTGGCCTACTCCCAATGTCTGAATTGATTTTGCTTTTAAGAGCAGAATCTTTTAAGGATCCCAGAAGGGTTCCAGGTCATACGGAGAGGAGATAATTTTTTTTTTTTTGCTGTCTCCATGGATGTGGGATTTAGCACAAGGACCTCTTGTGCCACTGACAATCATACCAGCTGAGCCTGGGTTTTCCTGTCCACCCTCCCTTGTGCACCAGCAGGATGGTATGTATTTGTCTAATGACAGCAGCCATGAGATTTACATTTCCACTGGGTATGTTATTTGCAGATTTAAGTGATGTTCATTCCCCTGTAATTCATATATTTCCTCGCACTTATCAGATCTACTAGTTTGCTTCATCAAGTTGAAATTTCTGTAAGTTGAGGCTATTCCTTTGCACCCACATTTCCCTTTCTGCCCAGTTCCTTACAATTTTGAAAGTTTCAGTTGTAAAGGTGAGTCATAACACGATTTTCTAGTCTTCCCTTTTGCTTTATAGCCAACACCATTTATCCATTTGATAGTTGGAAGTGTTCTGTTACTTATAGGAGAAGGTTTTATACATACTCTGATAAACCAACCTTTCTTTTAATCCACAAAGTTACAAATTTTAGGCCTTCAGATTCAGCCATTTACAGTTCTTATGGCTCTTGTAAAGTTCTGTAAACATTTTTTATTCCAATTGAGTTATTCCGATTAACCCAAGGCTTTATTAGCAAAGGATTAGTCAATCAGTCCCCTGTCACATAAGGATTGTATACATTTAATCTCAGGAATGCTCACAACTCAGCCAGGTTCTGCTAGCTTCAAAACTGTTAAGGCATGTTAGAAGTGGCCACCTCCTCCAGCAGCCTCAGCCCAGGACCCTCCTGTCTGGCTGCTGGAGCCCAGTGTGGAGTCCAGGGACCTGGGGTCACTACTCAGGCAGTGGCTCCTGCTTTCCCACCTGCAGGTTTGCCTAGTGACAAAGCTGAACACAAATCCAAGAGGCACACACACAGAGAACACTGCCACAGAAAAGGTGCTGTCCTCAACACCACCCATGTGTGGTACCCGTGTAAGACATAAACACAGCGGAGTCCTCTTCCCTTGTCTGTCTGGTAGAGGTGTAAGTTCGCTGGTGAAGGAGCACACCCCCTTCTCTAGGTTCACAGGCATGTGAATATTTGCATATGCCCAAGTATGGGAACAACCTTTCTGCCTACCTGGTACCCCTGCCCACATCACAGCCCTCCCATTCCTTTTATAGGGCCGTAACTTCCTGGCTGGTGCAGATGGATGCACCAAATATGAGCACTCTTCTGGCTGTATTGCATTGTACACTTGCAAGATGTCTCCCTTTCAGGTAAAGGGTGAAATTTTCACTCATTCAAGGAGACAAAGAAAAGACAGAGGGAGCCTGTGCCTCCTGGGTGGCAGCTCGCAGTCACTGCTTCTGGGATGACCCTCTGGCCCGACAATAACCAGTAACGCAAAGGAAAACTGCAAGACACACAAGGGCTCCTCTTGGTCATAACATCTGTCCAGCAGACCAGACCCGCATTACAATTACCTTTCCCTCTTTTAGCTGGCAGAGGGGTGCCTGACTGACCTATATTAAAGCTGGGATTCAGCAGCCCCCACACATTGCAGGAGCCTACAGATGACTCTTGGCTAAAGCCCCAACAGGGATTTCAAAAGCTTCTTTACCTTCCAAGCAGTGGCAGGGATCAGCCCATGGTCTGCCTAAGCGAAGCAGGATGTGTGAATCCCATTCACAGCACCAGATGCTGTTGTGGAAATAACCTGAATTGCAGGTGGCTGTGATGACAGGAGAGGACAGGGAGCAGCAGTGATGGCCTTTGCTGATGTGAATTCTGCCTAGCTGGGACAGCTATGGAGTTCTAAACTTTTACAAACAGCTTTTTCACGAAAATTGTGTCAGATAAGCAGCTTCTGGTACATAACAGCAGCAAATTCAATTCCTCAGATGAAGAGGCTCAAGTCAGTACCTTCTTTTACAAATAGTTCACTCTTTTGGCAATTTAAATTGTTCTGACTGGCAAGACCATTAGCTGCAAATGCTTCTTAAGTCCTGAGGCCCGCAAAGGCCTATTCAACATTACCAATTTTAATTTCACACACTGAACATAAGTAGTTGCAGTGCTTTTGATCACTTGCCTGTATAAATTTTGTAGTACTTTTATGAGCAAAAACTCTGACTTTTTTGCTGTTTCAGAGCAACTCCAAAATCAGTAAAACACAGGTGATGGTTAAATGCAGAAATAAGGGAGTCTTTTGGTTGGATTTTCAGCAGTCATTTGCTCATGACATGCACATAAACACATGCAGATTTTGTAAGTCTGGTAACTAATGATTTTTAATATGGAATCTGTTGGTGATTACAGAAATGCCAGCATGAGACCAGTGAAAATTGACCATTTGTCTCCTTTCATAACTTACTGCAGTCCATGAGACTCAGAAGAAGCAGGATCCCTCCTGTGCAAGAAGCAGAACTAAACAGAAATAAATTAAATGGAACAGCTGCACAATACAATTCTCTGTGCATCTCAATCTCATCAATGTTTTTAAGGTTTTTTTTTTCTGTAAGTTAAGCCTTTGCATTTCAGGTTTGGGGGAATAAATTTAGAAAGAACATGCTATCAAACTGCAGTTTCAAGTAGAAATTGATACTTACTTTTTAGAAACAGTTTTTCTACACAGTTATTTCACCTGAGGATTCTGTCCTATGCTTGCATAGATAATATGCAATTCAGTTTGCCTGAGGAGGTGTGCTGATATAACATCAGTGTGATTAGTTGTGGATTAAGCAAGCAAGGATTCGAAGACATTTGTGGAGAGTCAGATTCTAGCCAAATAAGTTGTTTTAAAATAATTTCACAATAAAGTTGCTAATTCTATTTCAGAGTGAAAAAATTGACTGCATCTAATACCCCTTATACATACACATATCAAAAAATGTAGTAGTTAAAGACATCAGAGGATATATAGAATTTGTAAAGTTTTGTTATATAGATGTCTATGAAGTTATGCTAAAGGAAAATTGATAATTGATTCTCCCTCGCACTTTTCTGTAAAGGTAAGATTTTTAAAATCAAGAATTTGATTTTTAAAAATTCAGTTTTCTTTTACCCTATGTGCAGTCCTAAAACTCTTTGTATTGAGGTATTTGTACCAAGAAGCAACTAAGAAAGAACTGGAAGGGATTGCTTACAGATGTAATTTTCTTTTACTTTCATGAGAGAGAAGTCATGCCCTGAAGATTAAAAAGCTTGTAACTCATGGCAATCAGACTTAAGTAGTAGGCTCAACAAATGGCCAAAAGCAAATGCCTAGCTGTTAGCTGAGGATATGACTGATGTCACTTTCAAATGCAATATGTATAATTTTGCTTCTATAAGCATTTTAAATATTGGGATTTGTTCCTGAGCACACTGAAATTCTTTTGTTGTTGGTAAAAGGTGTCTTGATTCTCAGTCCCTGGCCTAATGTGTAACAGAATGCTTTCTCTTTTACGGTGCATACTAGGATCAATCAAGGTTTGTCTTGGCTCAATTAGCTTATAAAGTACAATTTTGGAAAGCATGTTTTGAAGAAAGCAAACCTTGGCCCAATATCTTTTTTTCTTTTCCTCCTGCGACTTGTGAACATTGAAGCATGCTGTTCTCTTTCCAGGTGATATCTGCTAATGTGTTGTAAAACTTGACTTGATAACCTTTGTTGTTGTATTTAGTTTCAAGATTTAGATTCAAGTTTGAAAACAAAACCCCTCTGACACCTGTACTCTGTAATAACTAGAGAGCGGTATGAAAACTTGCTTTTATATTTGCTGTAAGGTTAGCTTTTACATTAATAGCTTTCTCTGTTCACATATCCAGTATTTTTCTCTGTTCTTCCCCTAGCGATGGACTTACAAAGAAGACTTGGAACTGAAATCAGGAGTAAAGATGTTCGGAGTGGGTAACTGGGCTAAAATTTTGGCCCATGGTAACTTCGACAACCGAACAAGTGTCATGTTAAAAGACCGATGGAGAACATTGTGCAGGATTGACCTAGCCTAGCTTTCCAGAATAACAACTTATTTTAGTCTCAAAGTGTCCAGCAGTGTTGCTGTCCTAAAACGTGAAACAGAATAGTAATAGGTATAAAACATTTATGTAAGCAAAGTTGTTCAGGTGATGACTTTAATGTGAAACCTAATACATAGTGTGAACTTTATGGCAGATGAACCTTGGCTAACATTAAAAAAGTTCCTTATTACTAGTTAAAAATGCTCATGTGTAATAGTGACATGAAGTTCTGGGAAGTCTACTTCCTTAACACTGACTGTGGAGTCACCTATGAAGGTGGGTGAACATAAGAACTGCAATGTAGAGGAAGAATACTTACGCACTTGTAGTATAAACAATTGTCTAGATGATGCTGGGAAGGAATCAAGGATCTAAACTGAAATCTGATTTTAACACTCAAACTTTCATTTTTATTTACTCTTGCTATTCAGTGATGACAGTAACTATCGTCAGACTTGAGAATGTTTGGCTGGCTCGCTACTGAGTAGGAGCAGTGCCTGTAGACAGGGCTGTGGCCAGTAGAGAATGCGAACTTCAGGAAAAGCAACCACTATGATTAGAAATATTAGCTCTTAATTACCAAAGAGAAACATGGAAACATGCTTCTAGTGTTCTAATAGAAAATCAGTCTTAGCATTTTGTATTAAGGCAGAGAGAGTTTCCCAAAATGCTTCTTCTAAAGTTCTGACTCCTTTAAAATTCGTTTAGGCTCCAGAAAATGCAGCATAAAGATGCAGATTTCTTGGCATTGATGTTAATATTCTCAATCTTTTTGTTGTTGCTGTTTTAAAGGTCTTTTAAACTTTTATGTAAAAATAAAGCTATGCACCAGGGGACATGAACAGTGTTCCAGTTGCCGAATCTTCTTCCAGGTTCCTTGGCACTGAGAGTTGCCAACTGCTTCCCAGTGTAAGATTTTACCTCTGAAATGTGACAATAAATGAGGAATTAGAAGACTGAAAATTGTGTATTTCATGTTAATGGGTTATGTAGTATAACATGTCAGAAGATTTTATTTGCTTAATCATGTAGGACTCATCTAGCTCTTGAAATGGTTTATGGAGCAGGCACTATATTCTAAAGTATATATATACAGGACGGTGGATTGAGTATCTGGTTGTACAAGTATCAAGTTGTATGCATATTAATGAAAGTATGGATCAAGTAAAAATCTGTTATGAATAATAAATGTCTACTTTCACATTTAGTTTTCTATAAACCAGGTATATAGGTTTGAGGGGCGTACTGATGCACTGCTATTAAACCTGCAATCAGATTTGGATTATGGCAGGAAATACCATTTTTATGTAAAAGTGCCTGTAACTGTAAAAAGTCCTCTTGCACTACAGAAGTTGCATTATTCCTTCACAATTGTAAATAAAGCTTGCAAAGCATTGAACTCTTATATTGAAATTACTTCCCAATTCTGTGAGAACTGAAAGGGTAAACCTTCTGAGCTCTACAAGTGGTGTGAGCTGTTTCATTTTTTAGGTATAATAAATGCAGCTTCTAATGAGACCTTGAGAAGGTTTAACTTCTGTACTGAGTTTTGCTCCAGAAGAGAGAGCAGAAAAAAAGGCTTTATTTACCCATCTGCATTATGGCCATCCCCAGCACAGCGATGCGTGTCGGTGTTCATAGCTGGAGGCTGGCAGGCAACGCACACAGTGTGTCCTTCACGTAGGTACTGCATCCAGCGAGCATATGGCCGATTCTCCAAAGCACAGTGGTGCGAAAGTGACTCTGTTCTAAACTCCACACAGTATCTGCTCAGCAGAAAAAGTACTAAATTAGTTATGATAGATAAAGCACAAGCTTTATCTTTACTTTGAATGTACTTACCAAACAGGTGGTATTTGTGAAGTGCAAGTTAGACATCATCATTGCTAACAAGTCTCTTTCTGACCTAACCTAATCAATGGATTCTTAAAAACTTTCTGCAAACTATTTCTCATTCTATGCTCCAGTCCAGTGCTTTATGTATAATCCCACTTTCTGGTTGTGTTCTATATTCTTAAATTATGTTGAAAAGCGGAACTTGGTAACCCATATTTTCACTTCTATTCTGCTGAAGGAGAAAATGGAAAAGAGACTAAGAATACTAATGGGATTTATTGTTCTGGGGAAAATAGCACAGGACAAAGCATTATGAGCTTACAGACCCAGTAATAGCCTAATTTAAACTTCATAACTATCTCTACTGGTAACCAAACAAAATTTTTTATCAATTGTGTCAATTAGTTTTTAAAAAAAGGTCTCTTGAGACCAATCACATTCAACCCACTTTATGAGTTCAGAGGCCTAAGTCTAATTTCTTAGACTTACGCTTAGGACACATTCAGCTTTGGTTTAGCATTATGTACTGTTGGCTTTCAAACGCAGCTGTCATCACATTTACCATGATCCCAATGTCTAATTCAGGACAATTAGCAAGTAATAAAGAACAACGTCTAGAACATGCAAATAAACTGCATGAAAGAAAACCCATACAAGCTGTAGCTTACTGTTTAATTGTTGCAAATTTCATTACATTTTTCTCTGTAGCCAGCTACTTTCCACTGAGCAAGATGACCCACATGCATATGATAAACAGATTACCCAGCTGCTTCTTTGTCTGAAGGCCAGAGAGAAGATACTGCTCGTCGTTTTCTTTCTTTACCGTATTCAGAGGTTGTTATGAAAGCAGGGACTGAGGAAGAAAACAGTTACGGTAAGGCAGCAAGACAATAGCTGAGCCATATTTCAATTACTGTAACGGCGGATGAATGAATTGGGAGCTCGTGGATGGTTATGTGATGTTGGCTGACTTTACTGAAAAAGTGGTAAAATGTTGGCAACATCAGATGTCAACCCCATTCCCTGCAGCTAAGCTCTCCTTATTCAGAAGAAAAATATCTAGAAATGGATGCCATCTAGTCTGAGGAAGTAGGATGTGCTGGAATCCTACAAAGAGTACTCTTTCCTGTTTCATGCTGAATTTGTGTTCTAACTTTGGACAGATATAATTTGATACTTACTGAGGGGCTTATGTCCAGAAACTGAAGGGAGTGCATGCAGCTTAGTTTGGTTGTTTACTTAATAGAAATTAAGAAATGCCAGAGTGGGGAAAAAATAATAAAATAAAGAGCACTATGACAGTAGAAAGCAAGATTTTCAATTGTATTTTTAACCACCTATCTACAGATAGATGCTTTTTTTTTTCCTGTTCATTGATATCGGTAAAATTTATGGCAGCCTTGATGGACACAATGTACAGATAAAGACAGAATACCATGTTCATGGCCGCAGTCCTCCCCCTGGTAAGTCAGGTATTCCAGGCAGCCAGCCTTCTCCTCCAGAGCTGGACAAGGTTCCCCACCATTTTTAGGTTCCTGTTGTACGTAGCGCCTACGTATTCGCAGACCGGGATGACACTGTTCTGCACAGCCACTCCAATGACTCCACTCCCCCACAACACACGGAAGAGCTGCAAAGGAGTATTGAAACATTACTAGTAGTCAAGGTTTCTGTTTTATCCTAATTGCTTTTTTCCTTTTTTACTTTTATTTTAAAAGTTTTAAATGGTCTTCCAGGAGTTTTGCATCCTCAGATTTAACATTCAAACTTGCCTGCAGTGCTTGGCTCCATATTTGATCCCTTGTGTATAAACAAACAGCCCCTCATCAAAACCTTTCACTACAGCTATGAGGTTCTTCTGTACCCTCTTCTGAAGCATACAGCATTAGCCCCAAAGGAGACTAGCTTATGGATTATCTAGACCAGAGTGGTCTGACCTATGCTGGTGGTTCCTACACCACCAGATTTTGTTAAAAGGCTGGAACATTAAGTAGCAGAACTCAGGAAGCCTTTCAGCACTCTTGATTCCCCTCAGATTGATTTGTAACCCCTTTTTCCTCAACACTTAAGTAAGAACCAGTGCCACAGCTTCGTTGCCCTGTTATACACAGGGTGTCGTACTCCATGGTTCTTGCTGCAAAGACAATTGTTGGTGAATATTTTGGGGCCCTGCTCATTCCCAACTATAGAACAGTCCACTGAACATTTGAATTTTAGTTCTCATGGACAACAAACTTCCTCTGAACTTAACCAAAACATGGAAAAAGTGCCATTATTTTGAAAGTAAACTTTGAATTGTAAGAAAATGCATTTCCCTCTAGCAGAGCATCAATAGCACAGGTACCATATACTCACACCTTTGATCTCTCCTAACCCAGCCTAATAGAGATTCAAAGAACTTCTCTCTTTGCACATATTAAGTGTGCTCACTGAAGGTCTCAGACGAAGAAAGAATGAAAACTGCTTTGGTTTGTATTTTGTGGCATTTTTCTGGCAACTATTGAAACCTTTAGCCCAGTTGATGGCCCTTGATATGTTTTTGGTTAAATAACATCCAGGTTCTTTAGAAACAGACTAAATTATCATATTATGTAGAGAATGAACCCTTATGTCATTTTTGCACTTCTTTCTGTGAGAGCTGTACATGGTAGACTTAGCATCTCTCATTTTCAGCATTGTCTTTAAACTCAAAAATCAGATCTGTTACCCAGTAGCCATTTCCTTCCTTAGTTTATTCTCTGCAATGCATCTAATAATGATGGCATGCTCTGTGTAGTTCTCATATTAAGCATGATATACATGTTTCTGAGCTAGAGTTCTCCCTTCTCTTGCATTTCTCTTTTATATTCTGGCAAAATAGTTGCTCTGTGTCAGCCTTGCTAATGAGTAATATGCCAAATACCTTTTTCAGGTGGATACATACAATCTACTCTGGAAAAAAAGTTTTGCAGCCTGAATTCCAGAGAATACAGAAACAGATGATGGATACATTATTCCTGAGTAAGAAGCTACACAACACATGATTCTTCACTTTATTTGTCCATTAACACAGTATGCAAAACACACAGAGGTTTAACATGTTTCCATGAAGGTGAACTTCATGGAAAATTCATGAAGACTCATCTTCAGGAACACCAAGTCCCAGGTTTTGAAAACTGTATGGCCTAATAATTTCCCCTTTAGCAGTCAAAATGAATACTACAGCTCTTCAAAACAGTACTGCACACTGAGCCCTGAGGGGCTGAATGAGGATGATCTCTGGGTGCTCACTGATGAAACAAACACAACCCTTCCAACAAGGAACTTCAAGTATACACAGCCTTAGCAGGCACTGCAGTGAAAGAGGAGATAAGAAAAATGTCACACACATGGGCATCCATCAAGAGAAAGAATTCTCTGAGAACAAGCAATCATTCCCTTGCCTGAGTTGTCCTCAACCTGTGCCCTACGAGGACATTTAATCTGACCAGTGGTCCATTTCTAGTAGCCTCTTTTCCTGAAGGCCACCTGGTAAGTGCTTCAGGTTGGACAATGGTACAAAATACACATCATCATCAATGGCTGGGCTGTCTTAAATTGGTTCTGAAGTGTTTGGGTTGTGCTTCTCATTATCTAGTTAAATAAAACTTTTTCCTTTCCCATATATGCTATTTCTCATTAGCTTGTAATGGAACATATCACATGCTTTTGATTTTTTTTCTATATTTCCTGATTACAATTTAAATCCTCAAGAAGCTTAAAAGCTTAAGCACTAGTTACATACTTATATCAGTGTTGCAGAAAAGTGATGGGACCAAACTAGTCTTTCAGGAAAATATTTTATGCCCTTTGGGATTCTGCCAGTATAAGACATCAGGAAGAAAGAGTAGAATGTGATAACCTCCTTGGGGTTTGTGACTTTTCTCATAAAACGTAGGAATTGCCATGTTTGCTCTGTCACTACATCTCTGATTTCTTGGAGCACTACCAATATCGTAAAGCAGATAAAACCTCTCAAAGAGGCTACTTGGCAAACGTCCTTACCACACTACCATAATTCCCCTCCTCTGTTCTCATTGTGCACTGTTGTAACCAAACATGTCCACTTTTAGTGCCCTGACAGCACTAGGTGTATGAGTGGCTGAGGATGCTGCATCTCACGCCCTAAGGAACTCTCCTGAAACAGAACCACTGAGCTGCTCTGGATATTGGGCCACCAGTTGTCCATTGTGCTCAACAACTAGCATTCTCTGGTGTTTGCTTCTATGTACGGATAAACCCCTTCCCTGACAGCCCCTGGGTATGATTTGTAGAACAGCACTGTGAAATAAGAGAAAACAGCTCCCTTTGCCACATGCAGATACCTGACACTGCACTACCAGGCGCTGCCCTCAGACACATCTGGGTACCCCAAGGTACATGACACAGCCTCTGTGGCTGTGAAGATACCACGCTGACATGTTGCAGCATAACCCTCAGACATTTGTTTCAAGCACTGGGAACTAGAAAAGGAAACTAGTGATAGTAAAAATGTCTTAGACCCCACAATGGGATAGCCAAAACAAGTGCTAAATGTACTATGGACCTGACAGTCTTTGCCACCTGGCTGCGGGGTCAGAAAACAGTCCTTGAGCCCACTTTATTTAATAATACTTCAGTGGATAGACTTCAGTGTCTGATCACACATCTACAAATCATTACCAGAGTACCCAAAGGACAGTAAGTGTCTATCTAGCCTGTTTCCTTATCTGTTGACTCTCTTCCAAGCTGGCCTGCATACGTAAGAATTTCCACATAACTTTAATCCCATATTAGCACCTTGATATGCGGGTAGCATCAGGTCTAACATCACATTTTCCATGCAGGAAACTCCCAGAGGGACTAGTAGCTGCATAACAAATAAAGCAATGACTTCATGTCTTACTGGAATTAAACCAAGCTGACAGTTAAATACTGGTCATCTGTGGCAATGCATGGCAATGTTATGGTTATCAAGATTTAGAACAAGAAGGATGAATTGCCTCAGTCATGTGGAAAAATATGAATATTGGGTTACTAGAATGGAATTTAGTCAGCAGGATAATAATGTCGTTCTTGCAGTCAGTACCCAGCAACTATTAAGGGACACTATGTCAATTTTGTGTCTCATTGGAAAGATGTCAAATTCCTCAGCATGACAGAGAATGGGTCCCAGAGATGATATACAAGGAACGGTGTCACCTTTTGAAATACAAAAAGAAGTATCAGGGACCCATAGCTACATCTTTATGGTCTCTATGTTGCTATTGTTTCAGCTTAGTTAACGTGACAATGGTAGATGATGATTTGTTGAAAAACGAGGGAGATGCAAGTCAAAGGAACCTGAATTATAGGACTTGTGCTCAGATACCTACTAAAATGTGGAAGCTAGTGGAATTTCAAAAATACACAGAAAAATTACATTGCTATCTTATGAATCACAGATTGAGTGGTCAGAACTTTTTTCTTGTCTTCCATTTACAGCACTGTGAATCATAGATCTTTTTTTCTGAGTCAAATTCCATTTAATTTTTTCCCATGTCTGGAAAAAAAGGAGGATTACTATATGTTCATTGCACAACATACATTGCAATGTATAAGGATCTGTGGATTTTCTCAGAGTAACCACTTCAGTTCAAGTGACAAGCTCATTCATTTCTCAGCTTTCTTCTTGTACAGTAGTTCCTATTTAAAATGCTCTCTATGTACAAAAACATTCTTTCATCATTGTTAGAACTATAAAGAAATTTATTTAAAAACTCTTGGACTTAGGTTCAGAAGTCCCTGGGCTTCTGCTGAGCTATCTACTTATAAAGTACTAGATCTACTGCAATTTTTAGGCATAACAGAATTTAAGTGTGCCATTGGCAGCTTTAGGAAGCCCCTCCCTTCAGTGTTTTCTATTATTTTGGAGCATTGTTTTTTTATTATTCTTAACACATTTCTTGATTACCTATCCTTGAGGCACTTTACACTTTCCCTAAATACTTCATCTTGTTAAATATTTGTGAAAGGATGAAATGTCATTTCAGCAGGTGCTGAAATCAAGAGTGGTGAACAGGTTGACAAACAAGCTGTAGTACAAGAACCATTGATCACCTTTCTTCACATTTATGTTTTCAAGTTTTGAACTTTACATTCAAAACAGTGAACTATGCCAATAAACACTCTTGATGCCATTAAACACATAGACAGAATTTAGAAAGACTCAATAGGGAGACCTCGATATCCAACAGGAACAAAAACAACTTTAAAATTTCCAGCCATACTTGTGTAAGTTGATACCAACTCCCACTGGAACTATTTGGAATTTCTGTTTATACAAAATACAACGTAATGACTTGCCATGGAAATTATATATGATCATTTGCCTTTAAAAGAATGACTTGTGAATTTTGTGAAACTTGGAAGATTTGTAGTTTTTGAATGTATGAGTTCGAGGATCACTTTCCCAGGCTGCTAAAATCCTGCCCTCCCATGCTTACACCCACCCATGCCAAATGTGCTGTTAGCTCTGCTTGTGTTAGCATTGGAGCTCACACAACTGGGCAGTGAGGCAGTACACGGAGTTGAACCAATCAGAAACGGGTAATAGAGAAAACAGAAATAATTCCCTGTGGGTTTACCTCCCTGAAGTGGGCCACCAGAGACTGTCAAATTCTGGCTCTGGTGCAGGAGAGGCAGAGAGACAGAGACTTCATGGAGACTCCATCTTCCTGCCTGGATCTAGGGCACCCACTGCCCACACAGGGTACGAGAGAGGCGGCACAAACACATAATGCCTTTTGAGGAAACCACCACTGAACATGAAACAAAAAATACCATCTCGATAACAGTGGGGCATCATCAGATGCCAGAAGTCATGGTAAGGAAAGTGTTTAAACTAGAACTTTTCAAGCACAAGTTTGAGCTTCTTTTTGAAGAGCACAGAAATTTTTTTGGATTAGAGCTTCATTTTAATGCTAATACTGGGCACGTTTATCAACTCTCTCCTTTTATACTTGAATATTAAAGATCATATTGTTTACTGAAAATATGTGATATGCTCTGACTGTATGACAAGCAAGCATTTTGTCAGTTCTCCCCCTATTGATTTTCCTGAATGATAGAACACTGTATTTTAAAAATGATAATTTTAAAAATGCTACCTTCTGTTATACTCTATGGTGCATTTTTTCCCCAATGTTATTCTGGTGAGATTATTTAGTGGTGAGAGAACTGACTGTATTTCTTCCGGAGACCTGAGGTCAGAGTTCTGCTCTGCTGAGTTCTTCTGTGAAGCTTTATATCCCTTAGGACGTGTCTACAGCATCTGACAATCGTACTCCCCCTTCCCAGTACAGGCAGACATAAGCCAACTTGGGTCCCAAAGATATGTGGCTGTGTCAGCATGGCACTGAGCCTGCTAAATGCACCCTAATTAGCAGAACTGTGCAGCAAAGGCTCATGATTTTTTTGGCTGTAGGCTGGCATATGTCCAGCCAGCTAGGAGGAGACATTAGGCTGAGTACTAGTGCTACACCTGCAAAGCAAGGGCTGTGTCCTACATCAAAGACAGAGGGAGGGAGGACAAATTGTGAAGACCCCAAAGAGTAGAAATACCACAGAAAGAGGCAGTGTGAATATCTACAAGGTTGCTACTCAGTTTGGTAGAACTGGACCACTTTTCCTGCTTGCAACTGCTGCCTTGGGGCCCAGGCCTTCCCCCAAGGGCTGGCAGAGGACTCTTTTACAGAGTGACAGAATATTCTGATTTGGAAGGGACCCACGAGGATCATTGAGTCCAACTCTTAAGTGAATGACCCTTATGGAAATCAAATCCATGACCCTGCCATTATTAGCGCCACATTCTAAACAAATGAGCTTGCACTCATTCTCCTATGCTTATTTTAAAGCCCTTGCCTTCACAGTAAATCCTTGCTGATTCATACCCCTAGAAATGGGGCCAAAACCTCACAGTGGGGATTTCCCCAATCATTTCATTGCTATTTGTTTGTCAGGATGTGAGGAATCAGCTGAAAGATACAGACGGGTGCTAAATGAAACTCCCTGCTGTCTCTGTAATTGGACACACCCCCTGCAATCAATGTGTGTTCGGGACTAGCACGAGGGTAAAGTAAGTAACATAAAATTTTAGAGGTAAAATAACTTCAGACTGTCACTGTACTACAGCTGATCTGGATATCTTGCAGACGTCTAGTGAGAGAAAATTCTCTGCCCCCCTTCCTGCGCCTGCCGCTATTCTGGCGCTGCCCCAGCCTGGTCCCTCTTCATGCCCTGGCCCCGGGGCTGGGGACGCCAGGGAGGGAGGAATCTGGCCCCCCCGCAGCCCTCAAGCCCATGACCGCACGCCCCAGCTCCCAATCCCAGCGACACCTCCATCCCGCGAAGCCCCGGCAGGTAGAGAGATCCCTGTACCTGGAGAAAGGGCCGGGGGTGCGGGGTCCCGCCTGGGCCGCGTCCGACCCGCGCCCCTCTCGCCGGGGCCGCGGCCTCGCCGGACCCGCAGGGCCGTGGGCGGACGCACCTACCTGGACACGCCTGGCTGTGGTCGTGGCAGCAGTCCCCGGCTCGCCGGCAGCCTCCGTCGCAGTAGCAGGTCCCGTAGCCCCCTCCCTCCCTCCATCCCTCGCCGACGCAGGAGGCATCCCGGCCCTGGCAGCACTTTCCCGAACAGCTGCCCCCGGCCCCGCTCCCGGCCCACAGCAGCCCCAGCCACAACGCTCCCGACAGCGCCGAGCCGCCCATCACCGTGCTGCCCATCACCGTGCTGCCCATCCCTGAGCCGCCCCGACGTGAGGATCCCGCACCGCTGCGCTGCGGCCGCCACGGGCCCCCGGCGGAGCGGGGCGGGCTCGGCGGGCAGGCGGCGGGGCCGGGCGGGGGCGGCCGGTGCGGTCCTGCCCGGCCCTCCCTGTCCTGCCCGGCCGGGCAGCCGGGCCGGCTCAGCGCCCCGAGGGGCACCGGGCAGCGGCAAAGCTTCGGGGTGCGGGGGGAGAGGGAGCCGGGGCAGGTACGGTGGTTGTTTCCCGCGGGGTCCGCATGGTAGAACCCACCTAGCAATGTCCCACACAGCGATGTTCTTTTTGTACCGGGATGTACTGGGACTTACACAGCCATGTCCCACACAATAGTGTCCCGCTTTGCACGGACTCACACTGTGACCCTCGAGTGATGTCCTGTGCAGGGATGTCTCACACAGCAGGACCCATACTGCCATGTCCCACACAGTGATGACCTGCAGTGCACCCCATGGCAGTCTTCCACGTGGTAATAACCCTCACAGCAACATGCCACACAGAAATGTCCCAGGAGGTGGTGACTCTCACCAAGGTCGTACACAGCAGTGTCCCACACTGCAGTGACTCCCACAACAATGGGGGGGTCCGTCCCACAGAGAGATGTCCTGCACAGCAGGGTCCCATGTATTGCCAAGCCACAGAGAAATGTCCTCCACAGTGGTGTCACACAGCCATGTCCTGCATAGGACCGATCTGCAGAGCAATGATCCACCTGGCACTGTCCTACACAACTGTGAACTGCTCAGCCGTACCCTGTACAGTGGTGATGCACATCACAGTGACCCACACAACTGTCCCAGAGCATCCCTATCCATCTCCACACAGCCCAGTGGCTGGGAACGGCCTGGGACCACAAAACAAGATTTATTGGTACAGGCACTTTCTCATTTCAGGGCACATCCCACACAGCCAAGAGCATTTGCTGTGTTATGTTTTTCATTTTCTTTCTTTTTTTTTCTTTTTTTCTTTTTATTTTAAACTGTTTCCAGAACAAACAAAAGAAGCTGTACTTGCAGGTGCACAAGGAAAGCAAGGTGGATTCCCAAGTAACTTCCTAGAATACAAAGATTTGGATTCTGGTTTTCAGTTCACTTCAGTGCTAAGAGGTTTTCAGGATTAATGGAACCTGACAATTTTAGCCAAAAGTCAAATCTCAAAAGAAAGTAGTGAGGTGACTGCAAAAATATGCTAGCTTTGCACACTTCAATTTGCAGATAGCTACTTTAGAAAGAGACATCTGGTCTCCCAAGCTGCCTACAGATGGGAGGTAACAGTCTATTATATTATCTATTACATGTGGGTACTTGAATCCCCCCGAGACAGCTTGGGCCAGGCAGAGTTTAATTTCTTGTAGCCATCAAACATTGCTGTTAAAATGTTGTCTAAATCCCTGAGGACTGGGTCTGCACTGTTATCCAGTGTGCCATTAATGAACTCGCTGGCATATTGCCAGCCTAAAACTTGAACCTGTGAATAGCAAATGTTGGGGGAGTTCCTGCAGTGGGTGAGAGGAGAACAAGACTTGCAGCCTGCCCTGGTAAAGGCAGTGTGAGAGAAGGAATGCCTCCATGTTTTCCTTTCCTTTATTGTATTCCTGTGCTTCACCTGAAAGGCAAAATATTAGCAAATAGTAGTAGAAACTACCTTTGTAAGTAGATAAATTGCGCGCAGACGACTTTTGCTAAAAGGATAAATCAGTAAAACTTGGACAAATTCAGAACAGATTAAAGAGGGGCTTTGTCTCAGTGGATATGTTTAGAGAAAAAAACCAAGAAAATATGTCTGCAATAGTCCAGTAAAAAAACCCCAAAAAACCAAAAACAAAAACCCAAACAGAATACAAACTAAAAATGCTATAATTTCTACTAGATGTAGTAAAGCAGATGTTTCAGAGCAAATGGAAGAAAAGAATCTTAATTGGAGGAGAGAACAAGCTACCCAGTTTGTTCTGGCAAATACTTTGTTTTTTTTTCTTTCAGTGTAGTTCCTCTCTATTAGGAGTAGCACTAGGTAACCAGGTGACTAAGAGGGACAAAGCAACACAGTGATGTGTTCTCAGGCAATGATGCAGCATTGAAACTCTTACAGGCAATTCCAACAAAATGGGCAGAGATTTCTTTCTAGTCTGATATGAGATGGTCCTCAGAAAGTAGATGTTGCTCATGCCCTGCTGTTGGTTATCTTTTTGTCATGCAGAAAACTTTACAAGGACAAGCAGCGTAGGGCAAGGATAATTTAAAATGCATGTGTAGGTAAACTTAGGGAATGTGCAGAGCCCTTGCTCTGTCTTCCTCGTAAGCCTCAGAGGAGCATTGCATGGAGCAGAGGTCATCAGGCATCTGTTCTACATGTGCACTTTGTGCCAAAATATTTCTTAATCCCAGAGGTGAGGAGAAATCTAAGGACTGTATTGTAGTCATCTCAAAAACAGGTGTTGCTGTTGGCTCTGAGATTTTTAAAACCATGGTCTAGATCAAGTTGTTGGCCATTTTTGTACTTTTTTCCATTTCTGCCCTATTTTAGCTTTGGAAACTCTAAACTCAAATTTCCAAACTAAAAACTAACTGCAGTATTATATAGTAGGAGAGGAGAAGAAACCAAGGCTGTGAAAAATTTTTTTCAACTAATTTTTCAAACATGTATATGGTTCCAATGAGTCTTGTTCCATCATTTTATTTCCAAGCAAAGTGTATCCATTGCTTTACATGGAGTTCTCCTTGGTTTGAAATACCACAAAGACAAAACTGAGACAAATGTGTCCCAACAGTAAATTAGAATCTTTATTATTTACCATGCTTACCAACGCTATTATTTACCATGGTTGTTTGTGCTCTCTCTGTATAAAGAATGTAGAGCAGAGCCAAACTCTTACTCTCTGTCCATTCTTGTGGTGCACAACTACCCATAAGGTTAGGCAGAAGGCTGAAAGCACTTGCAAGTGGGAACAAAATATATGTTTGATAGTAAAATACCTCTCTTATTTTTCAAATTTTACTTACAGCTGCAGTGACTTTGAGTACCTGATGTAAGGACTATTCAACTCAACTTCAAAGTCTTTTTCAAATACATTATCTGTCAGCCAGCAGCATTCCACATGCCCACACCTCCTCATGAGCAAACTCTCTGGAAGGTCCTAACTTGCACAAATTTTTCTTTGCTTCTAGGAGGTTAATCTAATGGCATCAAAATGAGAAGACTTCAAAGATCCTGCAGGGCATTTCTTTTTCTTTCAGACTCATGTTTGCACACAGCTCTATTTATTTGAGAGAAATAACCTTCCAAAAGCAAACCACTTACATATTATATTGAGACAACAAAGTGACTGATGTGACTACAAAGGCTACAGGCTGTCTCTATCCTGCTACACAGGGCCATGCTTCCTGAGACCACCACAGTCAGTTTCAACTTGAGTTTGTTATGAGGCCCTTGTTCCCATTGTTCTGAAAAAATAGACTTTCTCCTGATAAGAAATAATCCCTACTAAGGTGAATAACCAAATCATGGTGTTTGCTAGTGTAGCTGACACCTTAAAGCAATAGCAACATTTTGTATGTAAGAAAAATGAGGAGTCATTTGTCTTCACTGACAATCAGCCCATATAAAAACACAGTAGATGGTACATAAAAGAAGGTTTCTATAGTTTTGTAGCCTGCGCAGTTATACAGAAAGCATGATGCTGTTTCAATGACTAGCTTGTCTACGTCAAATCACTCATAAGAGAGCAGACTGAATACCTGCCTATATTTGAGAGGTCATTTGCTGTGCAAAGAGGCTTTCCCTTCCACCCACTTAACCTTGGCAGTCCTGTCAGGCTCAACCCTGTCATGGGAGATGCACTGGCTCGCTGCATCCCAGTTACAACCATTGATTTTGGTTGGGGTTGGTAATGATGCCTAAAATCACTTGAATTTGAGAGGTTAATGGAATTATAGCAGAGCTATCTATCAGGATATTTTTAGCTTATTTTTAAAGGCCTTCATCCTCCCTGTTAGCTGTTGAAGAAATGTCCAAGTAGCGAGATGAATACAGAGCTGCTTTCAAGCTTCCACACAGAAAAATTCAAGCAAATCTGTATGTCCAGTCTAAGCATATCAGGACTGGAAAACATCCTTTTCCTGTTTTTTCCCCTGAATTTCTCCTTTTTTCAGTTCAGGGAGCTGAAATGAAATGGAGCAGCTGAGCCAGCGTGAGGAAGGGGGGGTAAGCCAGGGCAGAAGAGGCAGAGGACAGCAGGACTGCCTCCACCAGCAGCAATTAATGGCTCAGCTAGTGCACTCATAAGCGAATGTGCTGAGTACCTGGCTATATTTGAAGAAGAGCATTTGCAGCATAACCAGTGAAGCACAAAGTGCTGAGTTTTTTAGCTCCTGGTCCTGGAAAGTCCGACTGTTATTCAGACAATCTGTCCTGGTTCTTCAGGCCAAATAGGACACTTGTGCTTTCAAAGGCTTTGCTCGGATGTGAAGGCATCTATTCATTATGCGTGAGGAATACAGTCCACTTGACTCCTGTTTGTTAGTTATCTTCCTGCGGGGTTCACCAGGTAGTTTTACATTTTAAAGGCACACGATCAGTCAGAGTAAGAGAAGGTGGCAGTTTAACACAACCACTTTCCAAAACAGAACTGCCTCTTATAAAATTGTGGATCCCTTCAAAGCCACCTTATTCTGTGATTCTGTGATTCTGTGAAAATAAGTATCCCAGGATGTTATTCCACATACGTTCCTGTTTCTCCCGCTTTGGGGTTATTTTCTTTAGTATTTACAGACACCCTCTTTTCTACAATCATGACTGAATCAATTGCTTCCCTTCCCAATGTAGGAATCATTATTATTATTTTAAAGATAGAATAAAACAATACTGAGAGATTAGGGCACCTATCCAACAAAACACTTGAACACTTGCATAACCCAAGGCACACAGCAACCCCACCGTAGGACTGTTCTCTTGTTCCAAATTGTGCAATCTTGGAGGATTTACAGAACTGGGGCCTCCTGCTGTGCCCCAGGGCTCCCT